TTCTAGGGATTAAATGCCGGTATGAACACGACTCCCTAGTACCACACCTACGACAAAAGGAATATGATAGGTCGTTTTTCATTTCATTAACGATGATAATGGTGCGATATGCTGGTCCTATTGCACATATAGTTTGCTCTCTTGTTTCAGGTCGTCCTTCAAAGTGGCAAATAGTTAATATATTTGGGCTCTAATGACGTTGTATGGCATGTGTTTGTTGTATTATAAATGCATGTCAACCCTATTGAGGAATCGACATTATTGGAATCATAAGAATGATTTTATTATCTGCTTTAGTTTTGAAACAAAATCAAGCGGAAAAATTGTGTTCGGGTGAACTTAATGTATTGATTAATGTATTATTTTACACTTTCGTATTATGTGCATTTTTAATCTTGCTGGTACTGAATAACCAATTAATTATGTATTTTGAAACTTCTAAATGCTTGTTACCTTGCAACCTTGTAGAGGTTTATGCTATTTGTTATTTTTTACCTATATATATATATATATATATATATATATATCGGATATTTGTCCTTGTACTTTTGTTTCCTATCTATCATGTCTGTTTATGTAATTTTCATTATTATTACTATTATCATACCCACCACCTGTTGCAAACTAACGCGGTGTTTCCAAATTTATTCTCTCCCCCTCTCTCTCTCTCTCTCTCTCAGCTTTCTTCTTGTCTCCTATTCTTTGCTGGTCTTTTCTTTTTACTTGCCTATTCTCATTCTTCTTTTTTCTCTAATTTCAAGTTTCTTTTTTCTTTTTCCTCTCTGCTTTTTTCTCTTGTTTTTCTTTTCTGTCACATATTCTGTTCATCTCTGTTTTCCCTTCTTTATTGTCACCAGCCTATTGCTTTAACTGATTGCGTTTTATTATTTGTGATGTTTTTCCTACTTTAACTTATTACTGATTTTTTTTAATCCACTGGTTTTAATGCATTTTATATCATAAAATATGAATATAGTATTGTTAGTCTTCGGACTTTTTATTTTAATAAAACCTTTTTTTTCTTTAATAATTTTTTTAAAAAAGTGATTCAACCATTTAACTACGACACCTTAACTACAAATACCACACACCACATACATCTGTTGGGTATTCAATCTAAAGGCCATATCGGGCTTAAAAGGACACAGGTCACCTGTTCCCTCCCTACCTCCCTACCTCTCACCCCCCCCCCCCCCCCCCCCTCCCTAGCAAAAGCGTCAACAACAATAAATACAAAAGACCCCCCCCCCCCCCCCCCAAAAAAAAAAAAAAAAAAAAAAAAAAAAGAAGAAGAAGACACAAGTAGACACATAACGAACAAATTAATAGATCTTCTACCATATGCATTTTATTCATTCTAAGCTTTACATAGATATTGAGTCTTTTGTATTTGTTGTTGTTGATGCTTTTGCTAGGGAGGGGGGGGGGGGGGTGAGAAAAAAAAGAAGAAGACACAAGTAGACAAATAACGAACAAATTAATAGATCTTCTACCATATGCATTTTATTCATTCTAAGCTTTACATAGATATTTAGGCTCGTCTTTAAAGGGATGTGAAATATGTTATACATGTTCTATTATAATTCAAAGGAACGTTCAAATATGACGCGTTAAATATAAAAACAGAGTTGTTGATAAATGCAAATATACACCCATGTTTGTAATAAATGTTGATCACATTAATATTGTTTTTTTAATAAAATAAGCAAGACATTACTCATGTTTTCATACACAAAATAAAAGAGTAATATAATATATAAGAAATATAACAACATTACCAACATATTCTTGAATGTTCACAATATAGAGCAATACATGACATTTCCGGGGAAGTATGTACAGATCTGTATCTGAATGTATTTACCCCAAAACATTCACATGTAATGCTACAACTTGATAGAAGCTGCATCCCTGTCTAATAATATACAGTTATTGACTGGCAGGGGGTGTAATATAACATTATTTGGACGGCTGAAGGGAGTTATATTTCCCAAGTGGTTATATTTTCCCGAAGCGCGCAGCGCTGAGGGAAACTATGGTCACGAGGGAAAATATAACTCCCTTCGGGTCCAAAGAATGTTAAATACCCCCTGCCAGTCAATAACTGTTATATTAGATAGCCTTGATTTTTTTTGTGGGGGGGGGGGGGGGCTCCATATTTTTTTTGCCCGAATTTTTTTTTTTCTTTTACGCGGAAAATCAAAATTTCGGAAAAATAATCTGTTGAGATAGTTCAAGAAAAAAAAAATCCTTACACCAAAAAAAAAATCAAAATCAAAATTTTTTGGGAAAAAAAAAAAAAAAAAAAAAAAAAATTCTTACCCCAAAAAGCCTTTTTGGGAAAAAAAGAAAAAGGGGAAAAAAAAATTTCAAGGGAAAACAAAATTCATGAATTTTTTTTTTCACCAGCCGGTAAAATATAACCAACCAGGAAAATATAACCAACCAGGAAAATATAACAATTTGGATCCTCGCAATTGATATCACGTGACGAGCTCTGGACCAATCACATCTCGGTATCTGTCTAAGCTATCTAATATATCTAAATATGATATTTTAATACCAACACGATCAAACAGACTTTCAAGAAATCAGGAGAAGGTAATTCCAATAGCTTGCGCGTCACCTATTATAATGAACGAACAAGACAATGACGTATTACATAAAGGGATAGTTGAGTTTTGTTGCAGAGGGCGCTACACAAAATATTGATATTGTGTAAGTTAATGAAAAACTGAGTGTCAAATTTGAAAGAACATACAATTTAAATGACAAAATCATATTCTACCATATGCATTTTATTTATTCAAAGCTTTACATAAATATTGAGACTCGTCCTTAAAGTGATGTGTGACTTGATTCCTATAAGCGTAGAGAAAATAAATAGGTCGAGATGGTTCAAAAAATTATTAAAAGCACCTGAAACGTAATGATTGTAATACTATTAAGTTGTTTTAAAAAGTCTGAAAAGATATACTAATGACATTTTGATTATACTGACAAATTGATAGATAAACAAGAAATATACAACATTTTCCCCTGTCTTAACGAAGTTAAATAGGTGTAGAAACCAACAATGTCCTTCATACAAAAATAGAGGTTTAGGTTAACCTGTAAAATTTCAAAAAATGGAAGATACTCTGGAACAAGAAAAATACATGTTTACCCTCTTAATGACGTTATAATACACGTAGCACCAACAATATCCTTCATAAAAATAGAGGTCCATGGAAACCTGTACGATTTAAAAAAATGCTAGAAAAGTATAACATTTCTCGGAAGAAATTATTATTGCACGAAATAAAACTTATGTGTAAAATTGTTCATGTTGGGGGTGCTTCAATTCCAAATGCTGAACAGTTTTAATACAATATAGACACTATAAACTGATGAATAACATTTACATGTATAACATAACTAGAGAATTTGTTTTTAATCATAGTAATTTGGCTAGAAGACACCCATGAACGATTCCAAATATATAAAGAATTTATACTTTTAAGAATCTGCTGTATTAAGATCAAGAAAAACTATTATTTAGCACTTTCAACCTATTACATTTCGACATCATTATTTCAGATGTTGACTAAATCCGTTTGCTAAAAGTAAGGGAGCATAGTCTCGAGAGTGACTTTGTCCCCATTACAATAAAAACAAATGGCAAACAATCTTTTAAAAGATTGGTTTATTCTGCTTTACTTTCGCAGGAATTCTTATCCAGAAAAACTATTATTTAGCACTTTCCATCAATTACATTTCGACATAGTCACAACAGTGTTTTTTCGGACATATTTACTTTCTATGTTTTATTGATGAAAATTATGTGACGGACAACCTCGAATCTAGTTAACATGCTATCTTGTTTGTGAACCTCTTAACCTTTCCCCTATTACACACTAGTATTGCGGTTTGGTGGCGTTCAAAATGGTTATAACATATAACAAAAATAAAACCATCACCACGGGAATTTGTTATGCTGGTTATTGTCATTATAATCATCATCATCATTATTATTACGTTACTGATATATAGTGTACATATACAGGTGAAGAGCTTATTTCCCAAAGTGGCTAAATCCATGCAAAAAAAAAGAAGATATATTTCTGAATTTGCTTAAAGATGATAACATTTGATGTAAAGCAATATTCCTACCTTTACAAACAAAGAAGTGATAACCAACGAGAGAAAGTGGTAAATTAAACATTCTTGATTTACACATAAACACTAAAAGTGGATTTAGCACCTTTTTGGAAAGAAAATCGTCGTTTTTGTGTAAGTGATTATATGATAATAATAATATATATATATATTCTTCTATACATTCTTAAAATTATACCGGAATCCGTCATACGGTTTGACAATGTTCAAGACTCCAGTGTTCCTCAAAATAAAAGAAAGAAATAACCGATTATTAAACTGCTAGGAGGTTGAACAGGCTGTGGAGCAATTAACCTATCTCCGCGATATCATGATTCACGCAATTGGCGTACACAGGCAATGACCTGGGTTCGATTCCCGGTGAACAGATTTTGCTCTCCTTGCAGCTATTATCTCAAAAATGGAAGACAGACTTGATCATTATTCCTTAAATAAGGGAAATCCAACATCATTACTTATGTGTAGTCCCATACGTTACCACTCCTGCTGGCGTTATGAAGTTCGTCTTTGTCTTATATTTCAAAGTTTCTGAATTTTTGACGGAAGCATGTATTTATATCTTCTACTTCTTCTATTTTCCGATGTATTCCAAAGCAATTAATCAATATATAGATATATAAATATATATATATCTATCAAATATGTGTGTGTATACACGCGGATGTATATATGTACTACATTTATCTTGATTATTTTACTTATCTCCATACTTTCAAGTTTTCAATATTATATATATATATATATATATATATATATATATATATATATATATATATATATATTGTGTGTGCGTGTGTGTATTTAGGTTGTCACTCTTTATTTAAATCAATTATATTATATACTATTATTGTTATTTGAATGTTTTATATTTGATTTATCAATAAATGCAGAAACATCTGCTTTAAAACAAATAACAATATCTATGTTTATCAGCTTGGTGTCATGAGACCGTTTCCGTCGTTCGGTAGACTACCGTAAGAGGGCGTTGGACTTGTCTGTGTGACGAATTGCTCTTCCTCTGCCTCCCGTCTCTCCTGCAATCCCACCTTGCTGTGTTTGTAGCCATAGAAGCCATAGATCAGCAAACCTGCAAACATACCAGTCATTGAAAACCGATTATTGTCATGCAAATTACTACGTAATGTACTGCCATAATGGAGTTGAATGTTACGTGCTGCATGATTGCCCATCTATAGAATTTCCCCCAAGATGTTTCAAAGGGGAATGTTATCAATTGTTATGCACTAAACAGAACATTTCGAGCAGGGACTGCACAGATTTCCGTTGGCATGACATGAATCTACATTTGCAACTTTCAACCAAAGTGAGGAAAAAATGCGTGCCTGCAGCAATTTTTTTCTTCAAATGCCAGAGCCCCATAATAGCGACTGTGCAAATACCCAGGTAGTATAATAACAATGGGTCGCTATAGAAGTGTCAACACTGACAAACAAGAGCGCTATACAAGAACCTACTATTGTCATTATTATAAATCATGAACAGAACGCAACGATCTTCATGCATTATCCTTGGATTATTAGAAAAATAAGTGTCTTTTGTTTTGTAATGTTCTGATGGATATATCATGGTTGGAATTCACTGAGTGGATTGCGGGAAAATTCTGATTTCGCCCATAGAGAGTTAAAACCACATTGAGTGTACCCAACCTGTACAGTCACACTGCACTACTTATAGCTACTTGCGCCCTTTATATAGCAAACAACGTCTAAGCGGTGACCATTGCTCCCCATGATCCTCTTTTTCATATTTTTATTGAGAAATGATTTGATGAGATAACCACCTGTCTGTGACCATGGTCTAATCCCTCGTGGCTAAACTATTGCAGTGGGGCTTTAAAGGTGGAACTGGAATCATTGTGGGAGGGGATTGTAGCGTCTCTCTCTTCGTTTTACTTTTACTCTTCGGGATATAATATATAAAGCAATTCATAAATAGTGAGGCAATGACGTCACAAACTGATAACCAAATAGGCAATTTGTGTAGTGATTTTCTAAGTTCGTTAGTTTTTCTTACTTTAAAAAAAATCATAACAGTTACTTCTTAATTAGCTATTCGATTTTACTCAAATTTGTTTTCTTCTGTTTCTCTTTTTTTCTGCATCTATTAAAAGCAAGTTATTTTCGGAGTGGACTTTACCTTTATTGAGACACATCTGGCTCTAAAAGGTATAGACCAGTTTTGGAAACGCCCCCCCCCCCCCCTCTCAAAAAATGAAATGGGAGCTCTTATTACCAATCATGTAAAAGAATATGTTTTGACTAATACGTGATGATATAATTTTGCCGGGAAACCGCCTATTAATTGATATATTTGGTAAATTATCATATCTACCTGGAATGGATAGATATCTTTCTGTGTACAGTGCTTGTAACTTTACAAAAACTGGGCCAAATTTATCATATTGATGATTCCACAACCTTGCAGTACACGCTAATACTTATAAGCTAGATGATCAACCTTTTCTGATCGATTCCACGACGTTTTTTTCACAATGCATTCGCATGACCAGAACTCAGTGGTCTATACCTTTAACAGGCAACAATGTGTTGCACGGTATTCATCAACATACCTAATGCCATCCATACAGCAAAACGGATCCATGTGATCCACGTGAGCATGAGCATCAACCCGCAGTTTAAAAGGACGCTTAGAATAGGGATCAGTGGTACGAAAGGAACCTGTGGAAAATAGTAAAAAGAAATGTATTCAAATGTATGGATGCTTCCTTCCCAGGTGTGTGTGTGTGGTAACGAAGCCTCTTATTCACCTGCTATTATCCTTCGTACTAAAATCGCCGGAACGCAGCTGCTATATTTTAGTAATTTAAAATGATTTAGTTACAATTGTTCCCCTGTTATATATCTTCTCTGCTATGATTTTCCCTCATTTAATTGTAAAGGTTTTGTTATTGATTAATAAGGCTTTCCAACCAAAGCTTGGTGCAAGATACATGTACAACTTCAACGTTACATTGTCAAGAAAGTGGCTACGCCCATGTTATGCTAAAAGGCATCACATCATGCCAAGAATACTTCATTTATATATCTCTTATACATGTTGGTAATGAATGTTATACATCAAAGGGAATGAATACATCTAACTTTTCAGAATTCCTACACTCGTTCTTTGGAGGTGATGTTTCCTTTAACGTTCTTGGTATTGCCTTATTGCTCCAAACTTATGAAATGATTGAAGATCATACCGTTTATTTTATTAGTAACGCATAAGGCAAGACTACCTGTTTGTCTAGTCATATGAAAAGAAATGCAAGAGCATGCACTTTTCGTAAAACAGATTTGAATGGAAAGAAGTATTTGTCAGAATATCAAACCATATTTCCAGATATGCCAACAAAAAGGGGAAAGAAAAAGGCAAAATTTCAGCATTTTAAAATTCGCCAAATGGGGGAACAAAGGCTTCGTTTGAAATTTCGCCCGTGACAATTTTGTATTGGCAAACAGTGACACATCTTGTCTTAATGATGCTTCTGGGAATAGAGTTAGTCCATTTGATGGAGGGCTCTCAGAGACAGAGAGTCAACAAGCCCAACATGTTAGACTGGCAGGCCATCTGATTAACCTTTCTAGGAGTTCACTAAATCGACGGCCCCGAAACCGGCAGTCCACAAGACTCATATGTCAATCTCGGGGGACTATCTGACTACTTTTGTGAGGGATCTCAAGTCTTATGGTTGTTGTGGGCTTGTGGGCTGTCACTTCCGGTGGCCGACCCTCAACTGGACCATCCCCTTGAACTACGTCGAATGTTTTTTTTAACATCATTTGACTGTTAAAAGGAGTTAAAGCCATGCTTTTTATTCAGAGAACCATCGTAACAAAAGCCTCTAAGGGATAAAGGTTTAATGGGTCAGTACTTTTAAGTCTGAAGCAGAGGTATAGGGATACGGCTTGTACTATTTATATGTTTATTTATTTCAACAAAAAATGGACTCTGTAGGTCGTTCTCTCCTTTTAGGTCTCAAATAAAGCATCTAATTTAACTTGTATAACGTTTCTTGAAACAACGAGTATCGTAAATAACCTAGAGTTAACGTAGCCCATAGAATTAAAGTTATTGTTAAAGGAATGAGGCGAACTTACGCTAAACTGCTCTCCGGGGTCGTTCTGATAATGCAGAGGTATTACACTAAAGCAAACAAGGCTCGCAGTTAACAGTACGATCATTAGAAGGATAGCCCACCACTCCAAAGCGAACAAGTACTCGTAGCCGTGGAGCCCCAGGGACATGGCCCCTACGCCTAAAAGGATCCCGATTAGAAGAGCCACTAGGACAACCTTTCCTGGTGGGTAACCATAGAGCCGCCACAAGATTGGCCATCCTCTGTATTTTTCCTTGAGTGCCCCTGCAAGATGAAGATCGTGCGCACTGTCCGAGTGACTCAAGATGGGTTCAGTTGATGTTGAGGAGCGCAGAGGTATCAAGGTATGGATTTCTCCTTTCGTACCATCCTGATCTGATAAAAAAGAGTCCTGAATGCTTAAGTTGATGTTATAGCCTCCGGGCCTGTATCGCAAGATCACAATTGAAGCTGCTACAATGCCATACGCGCATAGAACACCGATTGATAGAAATGCCACAAGGTCTACCAATGTGAAGAAAATGTCGAGGAGGGCAACAAAGAATCCAAATATGATCCCGGCGGTAACAGGTACTTGTGTCCTGCTGTTGACTGTAGCAAAGCATTCAAAAAGAAGTCCGTCCGATGCCATTGCGTACAAGGACCGGGGTAAACAAAAGAGGGATGTTAAAATACAAGTAAAAGTGGCACATATCGCTCCAACTCCAACAGCCCACTTGGCCCACAAGACACCGTTGTAAGCGAACGCCTGCGAAAAGGCCGAAGCGGCGTTGATTTCCTGGTACGGTATCATGAGTGTCAATATTGCTGATGGGATCATGTATACCACTGTTATGATAACAATGGACGAAACCATAGCGATGGGTATACTTTTACGTGGGTTCAGAGTCTCCTCACTTGATATTGCAATGACGTCGAAACCAACAAAAGAATAAAAACATGTCGCTGCTCCTGTTATTATCCCCTGGAAACCATATGGAGCGAACCCACCATCCTCTTGCCAGTTACTAATATCGGCGTACTTTGCCCCCAACCCGATGATGATCCCCACAGCAACAACGTTTATTAGTAGGAAGATATTGTTCAGAATGGAAGATGTTCCTACCCCAAGCAGAACAAAGATCATGACGAACAGACAATATCCTGCTCCTAGGATATCGGGGTAGGGAGCTATGAAAGGCACATCCCATGTTTTATTGCCCATCACATAGGTTATAGTGAAATTAGAGTATGCTCCGTTGGACAGTTCATCGATGTAACCACTGAAGGAACGTCCGACCGAAGCTGCAGAAGCAGTGTACTCCAGAATCATGTTCCATCCGATGAGGAACGCCCAAAGCTCACCGATGGTGACGTAGGTGAAGAGGTAAGCAGAACCAGTCCTGGGGATGCGACACGAGAACTCTGCGTAGCATAACGAAGCGAACAAGGAGGCGAGGCCGGCGATGAAGTACGAGACGAACACGGCAGGTCCAGCATACTCCTTGGCAACAGTTCCAGTTAGGACATACAACCCTGCTCCGAACATGGAACCAATGCCCAGGAAGGTCAGGTCAAGCGTGCTCAGGTAACGTCGCAAAGGTGTGGAATACGTGTCTTCATCGCCGAACTGCTTCTTCCGGCTAAGGGTCTTCAGGAAGCTGATGCAAGCGTTTGAACCCATTGTGGTTGACTTAAAGGCTTTGTGTTATCAATGATGCAATCTTTAGGAAACACCCAAGGATGGTACCAGCTAGCTCGTCTTGGACATTTCTGCAGAAATTAGGGAAACAAAAACATTAAAACTGATGCTGCCAAAAGACATCTCAATATATTTGTAAGTGCTCATAGTACAGTATGGATTTAAATTGCATTAATCACCGAGGAAATGAGGAAAGAAAGTAAAGGAATAAAGAGATAAAACCTAGAACTTCCAAGAATTGAATAAATATGGAGGGAAGAACAGGAAAGGGGAATGCAAAGAGCATGAGCCTCGGTACTTAAAATGTAATATTTATAAAAAGGTATCACAATAAAAAAAAAATGTTAAAAAGGAGGACTGATACACTAGAAGTCTCCAAACTCATATCGTCAAACCTTATTCTATATGTTTGACGACAACAGGCGAACGTCGGAGGAATAAATACCAAGTGACAAGTTTCGAGCCCGTACTACGCTAAAAAAGAAGGTGCACGTACGGTGATTCTGACCTTCCAGGAAAGTACATACAGGTGTGCATGTTTTTACAGAACAATTAAAAAGGCAGTCAACTGTCTCTTGTATTTATAGAACATCAAGACAGGCGCACATCGTGTTATACAGTTAGACACAAACATCTGCCTTTCACCCGCATTTATAACAAGTACTACGGAGGATGAGTCAATGATATACTTAAAGTCAATTAAAAATTGAAATTGTAATACATGATAGGCTTATCCTTTTATAGTGATAATTAAAGGTCATTAGATAGAAATGGGGGCCTTTAGCAGAAAACAATCAACTGTCTGCCTTAAACTGCCCTTTACATATTTACCGCGGAGATTGTTTATGATTGTAGTTTAGGTTTACACCGTTACAAAGCACATGATATCCATACATTGATACTTGTTGGCACTTTCGGAAAATCAACCTTATACAATCTCAATAGCCTTGTGTGCCACTTTTTGAAAATAATGTCATGTTACATAAACACCCCATGAAAAGTGTATCGAAATTGCCGTTAAGTTGAAATATAACTCGTGTTAGACACAAACATCGGCCTTTCACCCGCACTTTACAAGTACTACAGAGGATAAGTCAATGGTTTACTTACAACCCATTTAATATACAATTGAAATCATAACATAATTATGATATCCTTCTATAGTGATAATTAAAGGCCACTAATTAAAAATGGGGGCATTAAGCAGAAAAACAATCAACTGTCTGCCTTGAACTGCACCTGACATAATTTACCGCAGATGTTTGTATGACTGTAGTTTAGGTTTACACCGTTACAAAGCACATGATATCCATTTTGATGCTGGTTGACACCTCGATTTCGAGGATATTACTACAGTTGTTCTTGGAGATGACCTACCATCCTACATGGGAACGGCCGCTTGGACTAGGACAGCTAGAGACAGAAGAGAATGGAAATGTAATGAGGAGCGCTTTTCCCAACGTCTGGATGAATTATAGCCTGATATATAGATAGATATTCCTAATATTCATAAATGACATTGCAAATGTGGTGAAACATTCATCAATATCATTATTTGCAGATGATACGTGTATATATTATTCCTCCAATAGTGCCAATGATGTATCAAACAAGGTTAATGATGATTTAAATAATGTAACTTTATGGCTGAATGCTAACAGGCTGATACTTAATATGAGCAAAACTGAATATATGCTTATTGGATCCCATAAACGAGTAAAGCAGTTTCATAATGTAAATATTAATATACACATCGGTAACAATGCACTGAAAGAAGTTTATAGTTGTAAATATCTTGGCGTAATTCTTGATCCTAGTTTGAATTGGAAACTGCACATAGACCATGTACGCAAAAAAGTTGTCCGAGGCTTATTTCTCTTTCGTAAAGTCAGACCTATTGTTGACTTGTGTACTGCTAGAATGCTATACTTTAGTATTATTCAAACACACTTTGATTACTGCTCTATAATTTGGAATAATGCTACTCAAGTCGTATTAAATAAGCTACGTGTTCTACAGAATAGAGCTGTACGGATTATGGTTAAGGCACCTTTTGAGCAAAGAACTCGAGAAATCTACCAACAAGCAAAGATAATCCCAATCGTTGATAGATGGACAAGAGGAAATTTAATCATGCTATTCAAGATAATGCATGACTTAACTCCAACGTACTTATCTTCACGAGTTGAATTACGACATAATCCACACAATTTAAGAAATGGCGATCATAAAATTCAGCTTCCAAAGCCTAAGACCGAGTTTTTGAGAAGAAGTTTCTTTTATCATAGCTCCAAATTATTCAATTGCCTCTCTTTTGAAACGCGAACCTTAGACACACTGGCTACCTTTGTTCGCACCATTGATTTGAATGAACTCATATAGACGAACATTATCTTGCCCTTTTTACAATTTTTACCTTCAATTTGATATTCTATTGGTTATGTTTTAAATATATATATATATATATATATATATATATATATATATATATATATATATATATATATATATTTTTTTTTTTGATTTTTTTTTTTGATTAATTTTTTTTTTTTTTTTTAATTTTTATTGTTTTTTTTTTAAATAGTTTTTTAAACACGATAAATATTATACCCATCCTCTTATTCCTGTCTTGTGTTTTTTTTTTCTTCTTATGTTTACCTTGATGTTTTTTGTGTTATGTTATCGGTTTTACAGTTTTACTCGTATGCTTGTTGTCGTCCTAGTTGAATATCTGCAATCAACTGTCTTATTGCTTGTTTGTTTTGTACTTTAATCTGTTAGATATTTATTTGTTTGACTATACATGTACATATTCATTGCCTTACTTCTTGCATTTGCAACGTTTTACATATTATTGTATAATTCACTGTATATTCATTGTTATTTTTATGTTTGTGGACCCCTTTGAAAATCAGCTGTGCTGAAAGGGCCATCCACCCTATGAGAGGAAATGAAAAAATAAATAGATGTGTTCTCTAATGGATGAAAAGGCCAATTTAAGACTGGCAGAGACGTTAACACAAGTTAGGCAGGGACAATTTTTATTTTTTATTATTTTTTTAAATTTATTTATTCGTACGGGGTAGCCCATTTAACATCAGTTGGTCTCCCATGGGGCCCCTAAAAACATACATACATGAATGCAACACAATATGTTCAAATAAAATCATTCAAAGTACATACGCAATAATGCCAAGTAAATAGTTTAAAAAGAGAATGTAAAAACATTGAAATATATCAAGGTGAATGTTTGCAATATAGAATAATCAAATATTTAAAGTACAATAACGAGTAACAGAAAATAAAGATATTTAAACAAATATGAAACAGACTATTGGTGAGTAACTAGGTGCCATAGAATCCCTTGTACGTCCAATGACTTAAGATATTGTTTAAGATTAAATTTGAAAGATACCAAAGAGGGCAACTCCCGAATAATTACCGGCAAATTATTCCACAAATTTGGACATATAAAGAGTGTTTACAGTACTCAGTGCGGCATTTGGGAACGACAAGATCGTGTCTGGCGGCTTGCCTCGTATTTTTATCATGTTTTCTACTTAACTCTTGGAAATAATTTGAGTAGTAATCAGGAGAGAGGCCTTGATAGTATTTATAAACAAATAATGGAAATAAGTTATTAGATATCTGAAAGGTATTCAGTTCAGACTTGAGAACATTTCCTTAGATGGGCTATAAATATTACACCGAAAGATCAGACGAGCTGCCATCTTTTGTAGTTTAGTACTTCGATCTACATGTATATTAAAACAATCTCCCCATATCTCACAGCAGTAATCCATCTGTGATTGAATGAGGCATGTATATACTAATTTTAGAGTATCATTTTCTACAAAAGGTCCAATTCTTTTTAACATCGCAAGACCGGCAAATATTTTTTTACATACAGAATCAACTTGTTCATGCCATAATAAATGTTTATCTATTATTATCCCGAGACATTTAAAACTTGCACATTGATTGATTTCAACCCCATCGTAAGGGATGCGGATGCTGTCATTACTACAGGTACTAAGTTTTTGTTTACTCCCTATAATCATAAACTTTTACCTGTATTTAAATGCAACCTGTTGTTGCTTATCCATGTACCTATTGCATTCATTTCGTGTTGCAATTTATTTTCCAATTCACTGATCAAAGTTCCAGTGACATACAAAGTGGTGTCATCTGCATACATTATGACTTTACCTTCCCTAAAGACATTGACCATATCTTCAATATAAATTAAAAATAGAAGGGGGCCCAGTATCGAGCCTTGAGGAACTCCTATAGATAGGGAACGTTCCTTTGACAAAGTTTGTCTAATTGAGACTTGTTGTTTTCTATTTGTAAGGTAGGATTGAAACCATAATAAAGTATCATTAGTTAATCCAATTTTGTGTAATTTGGCTAACATAATAGATGAGTCAACAGTATCGAACGCTCGTTTTAAATCTACAAAAAGAGCACCAATAATTTTACCACTGTCAATAGCACGTACCCAAGTATCGGTTAGAGCACTTAGTGCTGAGGAGGTAGAGTGACCGGGTCTAAATCCAAATTGTGTATTGGAAAGCACATTATTGGAGACGAGATGATCATAGAGCTGCCGATGAATCAATTTCTCTAAAATTTTACTAAGAGTTGGGAGAATGGAGATTGGGCGGTAATTTGGTATTGCATTAATGTCACCTTTTTTGTACAATGGAAGTACTGTCGCGTGTTTCCATTCATCCGGGTATGTGCCAGACGATAATGACAAATGTATTAGTTGGGTGATGCTAGGGAATTATCGCGTCATCAGCATTTTTTATTAGTTTTACATTGATTTCATCAACACCAGTTGACTTAGAGGTATCCAAATTTGCTATGATTTTCTTAACAGAATCAGAGTCAACCTCATCGAATACAAATAAATTAGCAGAACTGCCAAGACCTTCATTATCGGTCTGAACAATGGGAGGAAGATCAGTATCACTAAGAGAGTCACTATTACATTCCAAGTCATTGATATTAATTTGAATTAGGTAGTCGTTAAATGCCTCAGCAATACTGATATCAGTGTCATAAG